AAAAAAACTCCCGCTCTATCTGGAAACAAAATCTTGAAATTGTGCATCTATTTACTCTCACTGATTTTCTGATTCTTGTTCTATTATGTTTTCAAACTACTGGGTTACCATTCTCTGCCCAGAATCGTGCTATTTTGAATACTTGTCCAGCACCTCGTTAAGCTACTGTCACTACTTGATTTTCAAAAACCATGCTTTAACAATTTTTTTTATCTGTCGCTAAACTCAACTGCTGTTATCTATTCCTGTTTTCTGAAAACTCCTATCTTTGAGACCTTAAATATGTTTGAGACGTGCTGATTATATGTTTACTTGTGGAGGGATCTGTGAGTTTTTTATTTGCCTTTGTGTTCCCTTGATGTGTAGTCCTACTTGTTATGTATGTCGCTTAGCATTTTGTCCTTTAAACCTAAGGGTTCAGCCTAGTCCTTACCTTGTAGGAATAGTGGTCCTAAATACCTCTAGGATTTATAGGATGGGACGGGTAATAGCATGTAATAAGTAACGATACCATTCCACGCTTTAAATAACCTTTACGGGATGGGAAGGGTAGAATATGGAGATGATGACCGATGCGCTAATATCTCATGTAACCCCTCTTCTGAGGAGTGATTGATGGATATTGCATTGATGTGATCCATATTATTTGTAAACCTAGGACCCCGTTCCCTTTATTTTCTTTCATTTCTTCTTGTAAAACTATTCAAATCCTTTTTCATAAATTTCTGCCCTCTCTACTTGCCTTCAAAAGTTTTCAACCTAATTGTAATGTTATATGCGAATCCTTATTTGAGCGTTGATTGTTTACTTGTAAAGTCACAATTGTAGCATGGCCGGGACCACACTAGTGGATCTTGAGGGATGCTTAACACCTTCCCCTCGAGATAATTTCTAGCCCTTATCCGAACTCTGGTTTTCCAACTCAAACTCTTCTAAAAAGTGTCCTAATGCACTATAATCATTAGGTGGCGACTCTTCAAATTCCAAAACCCAATTCTCGAAAGGGAATAGAGTTGTCCTCCTAATGTCGTATACCCGATTTCGACCCATAGAAAAAGGGGGCGTCGACAGAAACATTGATAAGTCAATAGAAATACATCAAGGAACTGCTAAAAAGGTTTGATATGGAAGAATCAAACGTCATCGACACTCCCATCGCCACAGCCACCCATCTAGACATGGATGGACCTGGTTCCCCTGTAAATCAGACCATGTATAGAGGGATCATAGGGTCACTCCTGTATTTCATTGCAAGCAGACCAAACATTATTTTCAGTGCGGGTCTCTGTGCAATGTTTCAATCCAATCTAAAGGAATCTCATCTGAAGACTGCCAAGAGAATACTGAGATATATCAAAGGAACGCAGGACCTGGTCCTTTATTATCCCTCAGGTGACAACTTTGATCTTATTGGGTATGCTGACGCAGATTATATAGGATATCTGGTGGAAAGGAAAAACACTTCTGGAATGGCACATTTCCTGGGCTCCTGCTTAATATCATGGGGTACAAAGAAGCAGAACTCTGTGGCACTCTCAACTGTAGAAGCGAAATATGTAGCAACTACCTCTTGATGTGCTCAACTTCTGTGGATCAAGCAACAGTTGGAAGACCTTGGAGTGTTCTCAGACTGTGTGCCTCTCTTATGTGACAATACAAGTGCATTCAACATGGCAAAAAACCAGTTCAACATAAGAGGACCAAGCACATTGATGTACGTCATCACTTCCTCAGAGACAATGTTGAAAAAGGGCTTATATGCATGAAATTTTGTAGCACTAAAGATCAAATTGTAGATATATTTACCAAATCCTTGAGCAGAGAACACTTCGAGCAAAATCATCTAGTATTGGGGTTGATAAAACCCAATTGAGAACCTAGTCTTTCAATGATTGGATATGAAAGAAATGTTCAGGTAAACTTAGCTAAAAGGTATTTTTTGGCAAAGTCTAACTCATTTCTATATCGTTACGGGTAGACACGTTTGATGATTACAGAGCAAATAAGCAGTTGAGGATGTATATACTGGTAAAAAGGGAAAAACTTATAGATAAGAGATCAGTTAGGGAACCTGGTTCTCCTGACACAGGTTAGTAGTTTCTCTATTCCCTCATGCACAATTCTGAACAATTAAAACAAGTGCCATATCATCAGCATGTCAGTTTTTAGTTTTGTGTCTTTTGAACCCAAACGTCTCACCGGTTATTAATCGACCCAACTCCCTAAAACCTGCCGCCCTTTCTAACCGATCCCTCTTTCATAATAAATACATCTATCTCTATCATCACATTCCACACATCAACACTTCAAAACCTGTTTTGTAAGGCCCCGTGAAATTTTTACTCAAAAACCCAAAATCTCGTAGTGCCAATGTTGTGGCAGATGATCTTAGCCGGAAATCTGTGGGAAGTTTGGCTCATTTGAAGGCATATCAAAGACTGTTGGCCAAGGAGGTTCACAAGTTGGCTAGTTTGGGAGTTCGCTTTGCAAACTCTAACGAAAGAGGAGTAATCGTGCAAAATAGGGTTGAATCATCGCTTGTGGCAGAAGTGAAAGAGAAGAAATTCAACAATCCATTGTTAGCACAACTGAAGGAGGGGATTCATCAACACAAGACCACAACTTTTTCCTTTGGCATAGATGATGGTACCCTACGGTACCAAGGCCGCCTATGTGTTCCAGATATTGACGGTCTTTAGGAAAGGATCATGGTATAAGCTCACACTTCTAGGTATTCCGTACATTCTACAAAAATGTATCATGATCTCAAGGAAGTTTATTGGTGGAACAACATGAAAAGGGATGTGGCGGACTTTGTGGCAAAATGTTTGAACTGTCAGCAAGTGAAAGCCGAACATCAAAGGCCCGGTGGATTCGCTCAAAGCATAGAAATTTCAATGTGGAAATGGGAAGTGATAAACTTGGATTTTGTGGAGGGTTACCACGCACCCCTACAAGTTTGACTCAATGTGTGTAATCGTGGATCGACTCACAAAATCAGCGCACTTCTTGCCAGTCAAATCTACCGACACAAAGGAACAATATACTTAGTTGTATATCAAAGAAATAGTCAGGTTGCATGGCACTCCGATATCAATCATTTCAGATCGAGGGGCTCAGTTCATGTCCAACTTTTGGAAGAAATTTCAGTAAGGCTTGGGTATGCAGGTAAATCTTAGTACAACGTTTCATCCTCAGACCGACGGGCAAGCAGAGCGGACTATTCAGATGCTTGAGGACATGTTGCGTGTTTGTGTTCTTGATTTCATAGGTAACTGGGATGATCATTTGCCACTCATAGAGTTTGCTTATAACAACAGCTTCCATTCTAGTATCCAGATGGCACCATTTGAGGTGTTGTATGGTAGAAGATGTAGGTCTCCCATTGGGTAGTTCGAGGCTGGAGAAGCTGAATTGATAGTGCCGGACCTTGTGCATCAGGCAATGGAGAAAGTCAAGATTATTAAGGAGAGGTTGAAAACCGCTCAGAGTCGCCAAAAGTCTTATTTGGACATTCGTCGCAGAGATTTAGAGTTCAAAGAAGTTGATTGGGTATTTTTGAAGGTTTCCCCCATGAAGGGTATCATGCGGTTTGGAAAGAAAGGAAAATTCAGTCTAAGGTATGTCGGACCGTATAGAATCATTCAGAGGATCGGTCAGGTGGCATATAAGCTTGAGCTACCACCCGAGATGTCATTGGTACACCCAGGCTTCCATGTGTCTATGTTGAGGAAGTTAGTGGGAGATCCGTCCACTATTGTGTCGGTTGGAACTATTGAGGTTAATGAAGAACTATCATATGAAGAAATTCTAGTTTCCATTCTTGACAGGCAAGTCTGGAAGTTGAGAAATAAAGAAATTGCCTCCGTGAAAGTGTTATGGCGAAACCAGCAGGTTGAAGAAGCCACTTGGGAAGCCGAGGAAGAAATGAAAAAGAAGTACCAACATTTATTTGCATAGCCATGTAGTAGCTTCTATGAATTAGGTTCCTATGAACTTTGTATCACTTGATTAGTCTATGTAAAACTGTTCCGTTTTGATTATATATTGCCTATGGGGCCGTGGTTGGTGTGGTTATGAGATATGCCATGTCAATAAATTGTGTATATGCTGTTCGGATATGTATCTGGGGCTCTCTGGCAGGTGGATAGGCCTAGATACAAAGGAAACTCTAGCAAAATTTTTGGAAATCTAGTGAGTTAGACAAATTTTGGGTGATGTTGGTACGTGATGTGGAACTGAAGTTGCATAAGGTTCTGATAAGTGAACCTTGTTCCTCATTCGAAGATGAATGATCTTAAGTGGGGGAGTATGTAAGGCCCCGTGAAATTTTTACTCAAAAACTCGAAATCTCGTAGTGCCAAGCTAAGAATATGTGTTAGAAATTTATAAAATTTTCGCGGCGAGCTTGAAAGCCGCAGTTTGGACCTTTTAGATTGATTTGTGCATTAAAAAGTTAAGGAAGAATGTTTCTTAGAAGAGCGCATTTCTGCGGCCTATTGTACGGCCGCATAATAGCAATGCGGGCCGCATAGCTGTCACATAATAGCAATGTGGGCCGCATAGCTGCCGCAGAGTGAGACAGAATGTTGGCTAATTTTGAGGAAAACTATGCGGCCAATTATACGATCACATAATCGATATGCGAGCCACATAGGCGTCGTATAACCTCCTTGGGATTTATGCGAATGACAGTTCTGCGGTGCATTATGCGACAATAGAACAGGTATGCGAACCGCATATTGGTCGCATACCCGAGCAGAGTATTCAAGTCTTGAGGGCTACTTTTGTGGGCCGCATATCAGTTATGCGACTGCATATTGAGTCGGGACTCTTATTTTCGAACTTTTAAAACCCGAACCATTCCGTTAAAAACACCCCATTAGATCCTCTTGTGCTATTTTCTACTACATTTAGAGTGAGAGAAAGAGTTCTAGAGGGAGAAAGTGATCCTCACCAAGTCACTATTAAATCCTTGCCCAAATCTTTGAAGATTATCAAGTAAAGTTACTAAGCTTTCATCCTAAGAGGTAAGAACTTGTGCCCTAACCTTTGATTTCGAAATTCCTATTTAAATAAGTAATTAAAAAGTGGGTTCATGGGTATAAGGGTTGATTATCTTGCATGCATGTATGATAAAAGGGTATGGGAATATTGTGAGCTAAAAAGTAACAAATGGGGTGTAGGATAATAGAATCTCTCACAGAAAGGTCTTAAAATCATAATGCACACTTAATGCTTGATAATGTGCTCAAATGAGCTAGAATATTATTATCTCTCTAATTTTTGGTTCAGCTTGTAATTCTCATAAAATAGGTCGAAGTTGCTAAGAGTTCCAGAATAATTATAAGAATTTAAGGAAAGATCTATTGAGGTATGTATGGATAAAACCCCCTCTTCTTAGAAATTGAGCTACCTTGGTGTCCATGCAAATGTTGTAAGTAAGAAATTTGATTGATGTAGTACTTGATATTTCAAGTGATTTGGTGTTTCAAGAATATATATGAAAGGTGTGTCTCAATGTGTTCAATATGTTGTTCTTGGTAAATTGAGGATGTGTGAAGAATGTGAACTATGTGCTAAAATGCCTAATTTCAAGTCAAGTTTAAACTATGATTATTATGTGGAACTATGTGAAATCCTCTCTATGATTACAACTTGAATTTCTCTCGTATGTGCCCATTATCTTAAATTGCAAGATTAATGTTGAAAGTGGAAATGATGTGAAATGTGGGGGATATATACCACTGCAATGTATGATTAAAGACCTACATGCAGTTTCTCTTTCTAGCTGCGATGAACAGTAGCAATGCAACAGTTCACCGGCCATAACTCCATATTCTGGCAGTGGAAATTCACCAAATTGGTCGCAAAAGAACCCCCTTCTCATTGCGAACAATCCCCAGTTAGTTTCATCCCCAAATCAATAGTCAATTTTTCCAGATCTTAATTTTCATTTCACGTTTACTGTAGTGTTTACTGTAGAACGCAGAAATTTTTATTAAATTCATCTGCTTTTTCACGTCAATAGAGGTTTGAAGAACTTCATGGCTGCTGCGACCTCTCCCCAGCCTTTGGCTGTGGGAGAGGCAATCTAAAACAATCAAGAATCAGTTCCTAATCATAATACCAAGCAGTCTTATGCCTCGCATCTACTGTCAAAACAATCTGCCGCAAAATCGTCAAAACTGGAGCTTTGTCCAGTAACGTTTGAACATGGTGAACCTACTGTGGAATTCACCATTGAAGAGGTAAATTCTTTCACAATGTAAGAAGGTTTACATCAAGTTGTAATCCTCAAATTTTCGTATGGGAAACCTGATCTACAGGAACTACGACAGATTATTTCCAAATAATTTGATGTCAAAGGCTACTATAATATTGGACAACTGGAATATCGACATATACTGATTAGGTTTGATTTGTTTGAAGATTTTGTTCAAGCTCATTCAAGATCGACAGGTTATATTAAGGCGAAGGGTGACGAGTTCTTTTTTAGAACATTCCCATGGACAATAAGCTTTAATCCGCGTGAAGAAACATCCAGGGCAGTCGTATGGATCTCTTTACCTGA